CGTTACATACACATTGTACTCCATTTATATCCATTTATGACTCTAATCTAAGTCTAAATTGGTTCCTTCACCCACTAGGTCCGGATGCACCACTCCTTTTATAACGGGTGTTGTGACCGCATGGCCTGCGCATGGCCTGCGCTCGGCTTCCGGGTGCTGGACACGACGAGATTCGTCCATTTTGCACAAAGACAACAAAAATTGGCAACATATGATGATCAACAAACATTGTTATCTTGCCAATTGGCAAAAAACAATTGGCAAGATAAAGAACCAATGGGGTTTTACCACAAACACATTTTAAACAAAGATCAACCCATCAGACTCACTGGGTCACGCTGTATGAAACAGTGCGCAGCCACCAGGCGACCAGGTCTCGACCCCCATCACGGTTTCCTCTCCAGCAGACTCCAGACCGCGTGGCCACACCGTGTTGACAGGTGGAGAACACCGTGAAGCAGTTGTTGTACATGGCGGGAGACAAGTCCATCCGCGGCGCCTTCTCGTGCGCTCCTACAGCGCCTAGCGCATGCTAGTGGTGTCAAGTAAAGTTGGTGTTGGCGGGCATTCGTTTGGAGAACACCCTGTTTGTTGGTGGGCAAGTCTGTTGGTGGGTAAATGAGTTATTCATGAGGTTATGTCTTGGTCTTATGTCGTTTCACTGTTGTTTCTGTATGATGGTCCGTCCCATCCCCGTCATCTCCAAAGGGATCGATTGGAAGAGTCATGCGTGGTCATTGGGTGTCAATTGTTGATCACAACTAACTTGGATGATGATTTTGGGGCAAAGCTCCTGGGACTCCAGCCTGGTTGCCACCATAACTTACCACAACACCCAAGCACGACACAGTCCTCTTTGAGGCTCAAAGACTACTAAGACAGGCAGCGGAATGGCCCAGGCAGCGCTTTGACTCATCGCCACAGGCAAAATCGTTCTACACCAAGACCGGCCAAGCACGTGTGTCACCCTCTTTTCCTCACCACTACATAAGTCCCTGTCACACCCTATCACCCCTTTCCCCCCTTTCCGCTTCACCCCTTTCCGCCTCGCCCCAGCCGCGGCCGCGCCCCATGCCATGGGCCCTCGTTCGGCAGGTACACCTTGATCGTGTGGGTCTTCAACCCGCCCACCTCCACCTTGGCCTCCACTTGGCTCCTCGGTGAACACCGCAGAACACCGCGCACAGCCGACGCCGCGGACGGCGTACTGACGCCTAAGGCCGGTCGGCGTACGCGGCTAGGCATAGGCCACGAGGTCAAAGACTTCGGAAAGACATCGAAGGGTCGACCTTGGATCTAGTATGATCTGGGTCCTGCGATGTCCTTCGATGTCTTGTGGTCCTTCGATGTCCTCAGGTTCTGGGGTTTGCAGATGCACATCAGGCAGACACAAGACCTGTGTCGAAATGAGAGTGTTGATTCAGCAAGTGTATCAAGCAGACACAATTGGTATATTGATGAATCTCCTGGGGGACAGATTTTACAACATCTCACATCCTCACATATCTGACATCTGGATGTGTGTATTGTAAGATGGAGACCGCCAAAGACCCCTGGGAAGACCCATGGGGCCCATGGCGGGTCTCCACAGAAGCAGTGATGCTTTATATGGATTATTTCGCCACCTAAGGACCATCTAAAACCATCCAACCATCCCCAAACCCAGAATTGGTTCGGAGGTCTCCTTATTCTACTGGAGCATGTAATGACCGGGGTAACCCCAGATGGGGCGTCCCATCCACCCCAAGGCGCATGGACACCTTCCAGCGCTTCTCTGCAGAGCCTGACACCGCGCTGGACGAGACTGAGGCGCCGATGGGTCAAGCGGTTTAGGCTCCTTTTGGATTCGGAACTGAGGGTGTCACGTGGAACTTGAAAACCACGTTGGGTAACCACGTTGGCTTGTAGAGGAATAGAGTCTTCCAGTCTGGTCCATGCTATCAGAGACCATGTTCACCTTCCTGGGTGTAAGTTAAAACATGATTGCTGGTGTAAGTTGGTTTGTTCTTATCTTCGTACTCATTGTCCCTTTTTTGTGTTTGTGAGGACATCAGTGAACTTGAACATAGTGTTGGCTAAGCTGCATGGTGTACGTGTGTCTTGGAAAGTGGGTTAACACCTGGTCTCCCTGGTCTCGTGTGAATAGGAATTAACGGATGTTCAAAATGCTTTTTGGGGGGGATCACAACAGGGATGACTTCTACGCCTGTCGCGCCCCAAATCTTTCCGAGCTGGAGAGCCCTGGCACCGAGCTCCGGCAGGATCTCCCTATCTTCCTGATGTTCTCATGTTCTCATGACAAGTACAAAGTATTAATATTACGGTATACCGAGGCCATCCTGAAGGGCACGGCATGGGGAGTTTGTATGGAATTTTTGTATATATATGGAACGATGGAGTTAGTAGGTCAGTAGGTCTCCAACGATGAAAGTGACTGCAAATCTATGATGACCTCCCGCATGAGAATCCATGAATGTCCCTATCAAAACCCTATTTAAAAAAAAAGAACAGATTTATAATTGCTTCGCTGTTCACAAAAAGTTGTGTATGTGTGCCATTTTGTTGTGCATCCACGGATTTGCTCAGTTCACGGGCTACAATGTCAACAACATGCTGAACATTTTCCAGGTCGTGTCCAGCACTCAGAGGGTTTTCATCGCATGGCATGCCATGTTTTGGGACAGTCAAAATCCCAGAAAGGATTCCAAGGATGCCAATAGAATTGAGTGTACCATGTCCAAATTCCTTGGAATAGCAGTTGCATCCTTTCCACTACATAGAAATGACGGTAGTTGATATGTCCATCAGTTTTGAACACTTGAAAAGCTGCTGGTCCACAGCTGTGACGCCTTGGACAGAAGGAACAAGCAAGTAAACTGAAGCAAGAAGAAGCAAGTGGGTCAGGTGTGTGGAAGGAAGGCTTGCAATTCTCCAAATCAGCTGCCGCATTTTCACCAGTTACCCCCATTCGTTCGCTGCAGCTGCGCTGAGGAACACCAACAATGTGCTCAATGGCAACACCAAGGCGCTTTTGAGCTTTGAATGAACAAGAAGGGTCAACCGGGTCAAGTTGCCACTAAGTCACTATTTTGGGGGTCGTTAACCTTAGCGGCAGTCCATGAACCCTGCCTGAACCCTGCCCAGTTGCAACGAACTTGATCGGCTTTTCACCTATGGCCTACAAGCGTCAACGAAGGTCCTACTTTCACACTGGTCTCTGGTCATAATCATCACTCACTCACTCATAGACTGTGGTTCAAGAACCCAGGTCCGCCTCTGCCCCTTCCCATCGGCTCACAACATCCGTGTCTCGCTCCTCATGTCTGGCTCCCCACGGTTGGCGCCCAGCTCCGCCGACCCTCGACGAATTCGGTCGATCCGGACGACCGGTTTCTGTTTCGGTTCCGTCCGGTCCTTCTCTCTGTGCGGTCGTCCGACCAGGTGAATGATGTGGACATTTTGTTGAACTTCCCAGATCCCATGAAGGCGCGGTCGCCTGCGGTCGCCGAATGTGGCGGTCGCCGATTGCCGATTCCGCCGGAAAAAAAAAGGAGTGGTGGTTGGTCGTGGCTTGCTTGGGGGTCGGCGTGTGGTCGTGTGTGGAGCCCGAGCTGAGCGGGTTCATGCGCATGGTAAAACAAGGAAAAAGAAAGGTGAGAAGCCATGACCATGAGCTTTGGCAGCTGGCCACCGTGAGCTTGGACTTCATTATAGCTATATATTATATATGTGTGTGTGCGTTGGGATTGTGTTGGGATTTGCTGGAAAAGGGAACGTAACGCTATTGTATCGTATCCAAAGTGCTTCTCTCTCATGGTCCTGGTGGCTCCGTTGGACTCGGACTCCGACTCCTTCGGCGACGACCCCGTGAAGACTCGTTGAGTCGACCGGCATCGTCGGAAGCACCCGGCCGATCCAGTGAGGATGGTGACGAGATCTTGGTGACCGGCCGGCGGCCGAGGGTGGGGTGAGAAAGGCATGGGGTGGGGTGGGGAAGGAATTGAGAGCTCCCTGGAACTCACATGGATACCTGGATGGCATGACCTCAAGTTCGGAAGACCATGAAATCCACTACAAACTAGGTGGTTTTTTTCCACTTCCATTACTGTAGTTCTAGGGAGAGTATTGGACGGTTTTCCGTCATGGCACCTCCCCGACCATGGCCATGGGAGCTCGGTTGACATCCCTTGCTTCGGGTCGATCAAGCTGTTTCGGCGGTGCTTGGGTGAGCCAGGAGCGACGTTGTGTTGCTGTCAACCAGATGAGTCGAGATGAGCGACCAACAGTCCAAGAAGTCCACCGAGTCCAGACTAGACTCCACCCCTAAGGGGTTCAGGGGATTGTTAAACTCAAAGACTTGAAGATCTTGATCCTGCAACGGAATCTGGACGGCACCACCTGTTTTGGTATTCGGAGCCACTGGTCTTCCTTTCGGGGCCATGCCATCCACGAAACCCCGATTCTTTCCAGGGAGTTGCCCGTAACCCTTCTGGTGACTATAAGTTAGACTTGTACAGCGGCAAATCCTCTCAGACCACCGAGAGGTGCAGCTGGCGCATGCTGGCGCTTCATAGTCGCTTTGTATTTTCCCCCAACCACCGGGAACTCGCGGATCACGGCTCCGAAACTCGCCCTCGCAGCCACCGAGAGATCCAAGAAAATGGGAATGAACCCAGCAGCTCAGCGGCCGGGCTGAGCAGAACTAAGCAGCCAAGCAGCAGCCGGGCTAAGCAGCCGGAATCACTGAACACAACATGATATCAAAGAAGGGCTATAGCGGCTATAGAGGTTCAGACAATCTTAGACATGCGACTCCGCCCAGCTGTGCAGTTTGGTGGAAAACGCATGTGATGCACATCAGTCAACTATATATAGTCAACTTTCAGTCAACTCTACTTCAAGAAAGCATGTAAGTTCGGCATATCGGCCAAGGATCTCAGGATCTCCTTTTTTGGATACTCCACTTGGTGGCGCTCGGCCCGTGTGGCCATCCGAAGCCAATGGAAATCCCTCCAGGGCCTCTTTCGCCCGAGTCCTTGAAATCCCTCCCAGAGATCTTCCGCATTCTGGTCGTGTGTGGAGCCACCGGAAGTGGGAAGACGCGCATCGTTCAGCAGCTGGTGGGGTGACCGAAGGGCTTGGTCAAAATGGGGAAGGGACATCAGTTAAATTGGTTTGGCAGTTGAGCTGGATTTGAAGCCTCAAAATCTGAGAGAGTGGGAGAGAAAGAATTGATTTGATGGCCCTTTGTATCATGTAGCGCCAGAGTTCTCCTAGTTGTCTCCTTTGCTGTGATGGCTTTAAATCTCCATCGAGGAAGTTGCGTACTAGTTAGTTCTTCATTTTTCTTCCACAGTTTGCCTTATATTCGTAATATTAATATCATGTATCAGAACTTCAAGTGGTACAAAAAAAGAAAGGCCAGCAAACAGCTCTACAGAAGTCCAATCCACTGCCAGGGCTCATCACTGCTATGACTGCACTGCGAAACGCCGTCAACGGCCAGGTGGAGTACTTCCAGCTGGAGGTCAGCTCTGAGCAGATCGTCTTCGAAGACGACATGGCGGTCTGCAGCCATCCAGCCCTAGGTGATGACTATTTGGAGAAGCTGCAGGCCGTGGGCTTAAACAGCGTACCCAGCTGGATGAAGGCGGAGAAGGCCTTGAGCACCGGACAGCAGCAACGGATCCGTAGCGCCATCCGAGCATCTTCAGAGAGCAAAGGCATTCTCTACGACGATTTCTGCTGCTTCGTGGACCAGCAGAATCTCGGGGGCAATGACTTTCAACATGTTTTTGAAGATTTTGTTTGGACGTTTGGGGATCCACTGGTGCCCTTTCTGAGGTGTTCTCCATTTGTCTCGTGTCTGTGTGTTTTTTCCACCATGGAGTCCAATCAGCTGTTTTCATCCAGGCCGGAAGGGCCCCTTGAAGGGGGGCATGGCCAAGAGCAGAGAGACATCCATGTTGAAGATCTGGAGCTTAAAAGCAACGGCCTCATGTGGTTCTTCCTGGATCATTTGGTATTTTGTGGAGCCCGTGTTTGCGACCAGTCCTAGTCCCATTCCTATATTAGCGTACTAGAGCATTCTGTAAGGTCTCTCAAGCTCTCTTGGATGGTCGACGGGCTTCATCCGGAACCCCCCATGCTTTTCGGCATGTTAGTCAGAAGGTCAGGGGCAGATCTGACCTCTATGCTAGTTTTCCCCAAAGCCATCTCCTCAGAGGCGATGTGGAGCCAGGCAGCCAGAAACAAGCATCCTTGATGCTGCTAAGATCTTCTAAGAGAACATGTGGAATTGTTGTGGATGCATATTGAAACAGGGAACCCTTTCTTCATCCAGGGTGTTGGAACTCAACTTCACGTGGATCAGTCTTGCCCTCCTTCACTGCCACTTCTTGTGTCTGAGGAGCTCCTACTCCTGCGCGGCAAGCATCTACAGACTGGTGAGAGACAATGAAGGCTTTTTGGCCCAAATTATTGTTGACAGTTGACTGATGGTGACCATACGAGGTGCCATTTCATTGCGACAAGAGAGTTCCTATCATTTCCTATCATGTTTCAAATCTTGTACTTGTTTGTGTCAATTCCCCTCACTAAACGAAACGATCTGCCGATCTGCCTATTGAGCCTACGTTACGTGTGTCAATCACTTCTCATTTGAGGCCTGAACTACATCATCGTTGCCACCACGCGGCCTGATGTCATCCCCTATTTGGGAGCCGACATTGTGATAGAAGCTGCCACAGGAAAGATCCACAACAACCCGTTGGAGTTTGCAGAGCGCAAGATGGTTGTGAAGATTGAGCACGAGGAGCTGAAGTTCAACTTCGGCAAGGGCTGCAGCGGCTGGCAGGGACCTTTGGACAGTGCTCCAATGCGGAAAGCAGAGGATTACGGCCGACCTTCAACAACCGCGCTTTGGCCTTCGCTTTTGGGTTTCATGGGGAACGCTTTGGTTTCTGTTGGGGTACGTCCGAGGCCATGGTCGGAAGTTCCAACACCGTTGTTTTGGTTGTGCTTGTAATTATTGCCTAATTAACAACAAGACGAAGGCGACTTCCACATCCCCCACGCTACTTCTATACCCCTTGTGACTTGCTAGCTAGACCATATGCAGCCATGTGCGTGTTGAAAGTTGTTGACACACATATTGCTGCTGTGGTTGTTTACACACACACACAGTGCGTCTGCTGAGAAAGTCGGCCTGAGTCGGATATGTTGTGCCATAGATGTTGGTGTTCACGATTCATCGATGCCATTCACAAGTACAGTGGTGTCAGGGTAGATGGCGCAACCCCCCAAGATGTATTTTTTTTGTTTGTCTGTGTGTGTGAGGTGCACATAAAATCAGATAAACCATGTCTTGGGGATTATCATCTACTCTGATGGCCCACTGTAGGAAGTTGCGTCCAGCATCCTTTGGAGCTGTCCCCGCAGCGTCCGTGGCACGTAAGGTGCAGTTCGCAACGGTGGCCAAAAGCTTCACAACGACCGTGAAGGAGACCGAACGAACGGCCGAAGCAGCTCATGCGTTTGACTACACCTTCAAAGGGACGCTTGGCGTGAAGAGAAAGGATAGCAGCATATAGCATACCTTAGATTTGTCAGTCAGCAAACGCTCAGCAAACAATCAGTCAACAGTTACCTGTAGCTGTAACAGTCAGTTGACAATTATCACTATCTAGGATAGACCCAAAGCATACCATAGTGCAAGCGTTCCAAGGGAAGAAGTCTTCAAAGATCTTCAGATATTGTTGCTCAGGACAGTCACGCAGACAGTCCACCTGATAAAGGCTCAGTGTTTGCCAGGCCAGCCTTTGAGTTTGATAAACCACTTAGTCAAAAAACCCAGGGACTCTGGTTGACCACCGACAATGAATATAGACTAGTTAGGTTGGGTTTGTCCCATGAAAAGAGAAAGCCCGTGACTAACCATCATCATCCACTGGTCCCTGGGATATGATATATTCAAAGAATAGTAGACACCTGCCAGGTCAACCTGCCAGGGCTTGTGGATCCGGGTGCCATGACCTACAGTCAGCTCTCAAGAACCGGTTGGCCCATGTGGCGTGCGCTTCCCTCGCGCTCGTCCGTCTTGCACAAAACCGTTGTGCAATGCAAGGTATTGAGCACCGAGAGCTGCCATGGTTGTGTCAAAGAAACTGGAACACAGGTCACCCTAGTCAAGGGTCACCCTAGTCAAGTACAGCACATGTACAAATCAACCTAACATGGCCTGACCAATCCCTGATTCGAGACTCTCTTCACTCTCCTTCGCCTGATTCTCTCCACATGAATCTGCACGGGTGAGTTGCACTTCTTCCGGCCACGGCCTGAGCTTCCGCCTTCCGCGCTGTGACCGTCCACCGACAGGCGGCTGGCGCGTCGGCGCGCTCTGCGGGCCGAGCGGCTCCGGCAAGTCCGTGAACCTCCGGAACCTTGGACAGGAGGCTCGGCCGGTCGGTGACGGACGTCCGCTGCAGAGCCCGTTTTTTTGGCTATTATAGCCTGCCTCGTTGGTGGCTTCAGTGGCGATCCGGAACCGGAATGGGAATGCAACATGTCTTCGGTTTCAACAAAAATACTGACAGTGTGTTGTTGAGTTCTCTTTCACCTTTTGAGGCTCCAGTGCCTTTCTGGCACTCCATCGTTCGAGCCAAGCCCTTTTCATGCTCTCTTTCTGAAGCTGTGCTCTTGTGACTCCAGGCCACTCGTGGATCATTCCTTGCACATGTGTTTCCATGGGCTTCTTGCACTTCAGACCATCCCCATGCCGCTCACAGGCGAAGATCGTGTGGAAGGCTGACAAACCGGTGGGAGAGCAAGTTGCTGCTGTTCCTTGGCCGGTGTGGCCGGGGAGCGTTTTTACATCGCACAGGTTGACAAACTTTGGAGGACGCGTCATGTCCTGCTACAGCTGGGCCGGCAAGAGCATGCGAGATCCATGCAATCCTCCCACACCCTGAGCAACATAGTTGTCCTGACAAACCTGATGTCTGGCAACCTCGGTGCTTGTGATCCTTTTTCCTTTCACACTCGCTGGACAGACTTGATGGGTCCTAGAGAATGACCTTGGGCTTTTCGCAAATACGGTTTGTGTCACCTCCTTTCCACACAAAAGAGGCAGCTTCCAAGAAGGGCTCACAAGTTCACAAGGCAATAGATCATGGCCTCGCGCTTCTTATCCCAACAAAAAGTTGAGCCTGGCATATAGGTACCTTTCATAAATCACTTGAAGGATGAGACCAAAAGCCAACTCTCTTCGCATGTCAGTTGCTGGTCACTCATAGGGCGCTTCTTCACTGGACAAGTCTGACACCAGGAGTCTCCGGATTTCTCAGGACTTGCTGGATGTGGTGCTGCTGCCCTTGCCTGCGAGGCAGCGGTTCTTCCATGAGCTCTCAGCCGGTGAGAAGATGCAGGCATGCCCCATGTGAGCAGATGGGATGAGAGGGGTCAGCAGCAAGACTCGGGGTACCATCCGGGGCGTGAGGGGCATGTGTTATGGATGCGTTATGGATATTATGGTTGCTGTTTGTTGGGATAGCCATGGAACAATATCGAAGAGGTTCGTTACTATTCAGGGGCATGATGGGCGTGCATACTGGTTGATTTTGTTGGGATACTGGTTTTCTTGTGGGCCGAAGTTCGCGTTTGTATTGTAGCTTGGAACTTGACATGGGACGGACGTGTGAACATCTTGGGCAAGCATGTCCGTGGTGTGGCGTAAGTTTTCTTTTTTCGGTTTGTGATTCAGTGTTTGAAGCACACAGGACGGACGCCAACTCTAGTGCAACTTGTTCATCCTGATCAGTCAAACAAGTTATAGTTATATGCCTCCAAACTTTGGAGAGTGATTCCACAAACTGTTGACTCTTTGAAGGGTTTGCGCTGTATAGAAGGGGTTAGTCCAGACGCCAGCACCAAACCCTGGAGGTATGTAACTGATGTACCAGATGTATAGGAAGAACCAGCCAATGTGTTTGAGTTTCATTTTGTTCTGTTTTAAGTTACGGTTCTCGGAAGGTTCGGTCCATCTTCATTGAACGACATTTAAATTCCATGACTACAAGGTCACTGATTTCAAGACACCGCGCAGACACCTTCCGCTCCTCCTCAGGCCGATTTGGCCTACCGGCTGGCGCGGCCGGAGAATCGCCTTGTGCTGGCGGATGAGTTCACGTCCGTGCTGGATCGGACCCTCGCAGCCAGGCTTTGCGCGTCGGTCGCCTCTTACGCGCCTGGGCCGCATGCGTCGACTCCTTCACGGTCTTGCTTATAGCTACTGGGCACATGGTGAGCACGTGGCTTGCTTTTTCTGGTGGATAGGAGGGGGGCGACAGATCCAGTTCTTCCCTCAACAAGAAGCGGAATTCAAAGCAGCCCTATAGAAGCATCACATGGACCCTGAAAAGTCTGAGGAACCAGCAGGTGGTAGATAAGACTCGTCCGCTAGCTAGTATCATCTTGGTTGCAAAGTGTCCTCACTTGCTTGGATCGCCCCCCCCTTTTCGACGCAACTCCTTTTTTGGAAGGTTAGAAGTGGCAGTGCAAAAACATTGTCACGGTTGAGTGCACTTTGCAACTCCAAGCGCGGATGTGCGAAGGCATGTGCGTAGGTTTCCTAGAACAGCTGGTTTGCTGGACATGTATTGAGCCGTTGAAGGAAGAGCCAGCAACGTTCAATGCCTTAGCATATTACTCCAGTGTTTGATTCCATTTCTTGAAATGTTAAACCCAGGTGCGGGAGAATCTGCTTCAACTGGTTGTGGCCACCATCCAGACGGATGTGGTGAAACACCTCCGAGCGGATTGGTGCTTTAGATCGGACTACGCGGAGCTCCTCACCTTCAGCGGTCCTTGTGAGTGCAGCTTGGCTGTTCTTCAGAGCACTGCCCTTGGAGTGGGGACTGAAGAGCGTGCACGTTTTGCCACGCAACAACATGCAAACATGGCTTTGCTGGTGCTTAACATGTGACAGGCCAAGCCATGACGTAAATCCTTGGCTTGTTCCAGCCTGATATGGCACTTTGACTTTGGCAAGTCATGTCAGACTGTTTCAGCCAAAACTGAAGGTCCAGAGCCACCTGAGCTGCCTGAAGTGGATTACTTCTGCCCGCCGGTGCGCACCTTCACCTTGGCCCGTCTCCGCGACTCCAAGCACACCCACGAGGTTTTCAAGGCATGGCCACCGCATTGGAATCTTTCGAGAAAATACTTTTTGAGTGAAGTTGAAGGAATTGAAAAGAACAAGAAAGAAACTATACCAGCAGGCTTCATCAATTCTTAATGGATTGTGTTGAGAGATTATAGGATGCCACGCAAGCTTGTGTTGAGAGGGTATATAGGACAGCCCACCGCTCCATGAATCAGAACCGTGGTGAAGGACTAATTGTAGCCTCTTGAAATTCTGTTCCTAGCTGGACCCACTTTTGGGGAGTTCCCAAATTATTCAGAAGTCAGCGTGTTTTCGGGGTCGAGAGCTTATAGCCGGTCTTGATGCCGGTCTACGCCGGTCTTCAGGGCACCTTTGAAGAGCACCACTACTTGAAGCAGGGATTGCCTCTGATGTGGGGCTTGTTGGTGCGAGATGAGCAGCAGTTTCTTGTCGAAATCTTGTGGTCGAAGCCTTTGGCAGCTGACTTCTTGTGAGGCCACCCACCAACCCATGCATTCTAAGACATGCTCAGGCGCAATATGTCTAAGGCTTCCGGTTGGCTTTCATGCCATCGCGTGGCAGACTGGCTGCGGAGCACCACGTGAAGCACGCGTGGTGCTGCTGCCGGAGTTCCAAGGAGCCGGGTATTTGGTCGTCCGCAGCTCTTCAACTGGCATGCATCTCGGTTTTCTGTAGTGACCGGAAGGTCTCCATCTGAATTCCTGCCCTCTTTGCTTGGCCAAAAAATCTGTTCCTCTTGAGTGCTCAAGTTCGCATGCAATGCATTTGCAGGAATGGGCTTGGGAACTCGGCTAAGCGACCGCGTCGCAGAGCTGTGCGCAAACTGCGGCTATGCCTTGCGGGCGAAAACGAAGCACCCTCGCCTGGGAGGCAAGGCTGCTTCACACGAGACACCCATTGAACATAATGGAATCTCTAAGGTATATAATTACACCGAAATCACTTGTTCTCTTTCAATGTAGCGGTCATGTTCCAAGGCAACAAACAGAAAGCACCCAACTGATTGGTGTCTTTTGCTCTGGATGAACTCTCGTCAGGCTATCGCAACAGCCGCCCGAATCTGTGGAGAGCCAGTGCGACGAATGGGCAGATCTGCAAGGGCAGCTTGCGTTCGAGCCTTTTGCTTGCGCTTGTGTGGACTGGGTCAGCGGCAGGCGGTGGGAGGTGTTGGGCATGCTCGTCGTCCAAGACCCTTCATGTCCTCTTAAGGCTTCTAAGACAGCGGATACAGAGGGGTACAGTTTAGGCACCTTCTGTTGCAGACGTTTACGTCTTAAGTCTGCTGTCGGTTAATGATATATGGTGGGAGTGTGTCCGGGTTCGTTTCCATTTGCTTGGCTGGGTCTTAGTAGCCATGCGCTTGATGCCTTCACGGCCTTCACAGGTATGACGCGTTGCACCGTTTCATGGCGGGTGATCGGTTCATGCCCGGTTTGCCTGAGTCCGGTGGCGTTTGCTCGCCGACCTTCAGTGCCTAGGCCTACGCGAGATGAAAGCAAGGCAGAAGCAGGTGAAGGGGCAGCAGCTGCTGCCATTTGCGCCCCTCAAGCAGAGCAAGGTGACAACGGAAGATGAGGTGGAACATCCTCGGAGGTGCTTCTCGCATGCGACTTGTCATAACCAGTGGATGGACCATGTGTCAAAGTCTGATTGATGTATTTTTATTTAGTATAATATTTATTCGATGAAGATCCACAAATATAGAGTCAGTTGCAATGACCTTCGAGGTACCAACGGTCTGATTGGGTCCTAGTCTTACAAGACCGAGCATCTAAGGTGTACGTCGGCGGCGGGGTTCTTCTACGCACCCCGCAGAAGCGAAATGAGCACGCTGCAAACCTGGAGCAACCTTCGCAGGAGAAAGTCAAGAAGTGACTTGTCCCTTGCAAAACCATTTTTTTTGGCACGCGCTAGCTGGCTAGCTGTAGCCCCTCTTCTGAAATGAGCCTTCGATTCCTGCAACATGCAACCTGGATCAACCCGGCATGTTCATTTGTGAACGAAAGCAGCTAAGTGTTGCAGCGACGTGTCGTTGTTTACTTTGGCAATTGGCAACCTTTCAAGTGGCTTACTCATGTCAAACCAACATCAATGTTGTTTCCATCAGTTTTTTTTGAACTGTTTAAACGCATGTTCTATAATCATACCACCTCCGAAATCTGGGTTTGCAGGTTCGGCCGCATACCTCCTTCAACTGAATGATGCATCCAGCTGTGTCTACCCAAACAAGCACATGTTCGTTCCACCTCAGTCTGTGTACCGAGACCAAACGAACCCCCGTTCCGTTCCGCAAACGATCCCCGTTCGGAACGGACCACCGGATCCTTTTCTGCTTTCAGGAAGAAGGGCCGGCCGCGCAAGGCGGAGGACGAGCAGCCCAAGCGGCCGCGGGGACGGCCCCGCAAGATCCCCACGGAGGGCGAGCCGCGACCGGGCGAGCCGGATCGCCCCACAGGGGGCAAGCGCAAGAGGAGGGCGATGGAGGAAGAGGAGAAGTGAAGTTGCAGAAAGTGGTCGTGAGACCACGAGACCATGGTTTAGTATCTTTCAATTGTTTTTTTTTGGTGCTGTGTGCACTGCGAGTGCAGCAGAGAGGGCACAAGCTGCCTGGGGAAAGTTCCATCTTGGAGCTGAGATGTGGATGTTAGATGTTTGTCCACATTAAAAATTTGTGGAGCCGAATCGCCTTTAGATTCACAGCTCTGTGACATCACAGGACGGGGGTCCAGACGCAGGACGCAAGAAAAAACACCGGTCCGAATCGAACAATTGGGTCTTTGACAGCTATTCATGTGCGAACTCCAAACTGACTGCATGCATGTTGTCAGTTCAACCTGTTCATTTTAGTCCCGTCAAATTGCATGATGGTTCACCTTTTGCCTGGCCTCGTTTTCAATTCATGGCCCTGAGAGACTTCATCCTGCTAAGGCCCAAGGGACTTCAACCTGATCGGCAATCCAGAGCTGGGCAACTGCAATGAGCCCCTGATCGGCAATGTGTTGGGTGGAGTGGGAGTTGGAGGGGAAGGTCTCCAAACGCAAAGGACGTCCAGTTTGTCATTTGTGGAATCCGCGGTATTCCAAAGTCTATGTCGAGTCTATACTTTGAGAGATGTTCTCGTTTTTTTTTGAGTTGAACCATTTCTATACATGTGTTAACATGGGTTACCGGCGATTACTTTTTTGTTTGGTGACTAGATTTTGGCAGGCATTGGTATCAAACTGCTCCCTCCAGGAATGCGACCTCCCAAAGTATGAGAAGGGGTGGAAGGCCTTGGCTGCTCACTTGGGCTCACTTGGTGGGGTTTCACACCTCTGTAGCAACAGTTCAATACCTGAACGGTACTAGCGTGAACGATCTAATTCGTCCTGTGAAGGGGAACCACAGAACCATTGGTTTTTTTCCTGTCTACCCGGCAGTCTACCCATGATTGACCCCAAAGCTTGGTGGGCCGTCCAGTTGATGTGCACATCCTTCTCCTCACTTCTCCACACGTTTCACCCGCAGCATCCGCTTCAACCCGAGCGCCGTTCGTTCAGGTTCCGTTGGGTGGGTGGTGTGCAGCTCGCTGTGACGGGCGAACCGGGCTGCACCTGCAATCCCTTGACGAGCTTCTGCACGATCCGTTTCTCCGGCCGGAGACGTGCGGCCGGGGTGGTGGGAGACGGTGCGCGTTTCGCGAACGGCACACTGCAGACACGGCTATTCTTGATGCAGACACGGAGGTTATGTTGGGAATGTTGGATGGTTTGATGGTTGAAGGTAGCCATATATGAGATGCAAAAACAAAGAATGGGCCATCGTGTGACTGCTTTTGGATGATGTAAGACACGTTGTTCTCATTGGGTTCTACTCAAAGGGATGCAAGTACCAGCAGTGGCTCCAACAACTCTGAAATGTCAAGGAGGAATCCGTAGTTTCAGTTCCATGTCAAAAAACAACATATGTTTGTTTTAGTTTTTTTCATGGACCATCACCACCAGCTCTAAAATCCTTTTCCCCCATGGAGAGCAGGTCGTCACTTTGGGCGGCACTTTGGGCGGGTGGCACTCCAGTGTGGAATGAAGACACCACTTCGTGGTGGCGGCACAACATGGAGCGGTTGTGTTATTTTTTGATCCCACTGCATCGTTTCTATTTCGTTGTCGTTTCAGGTGGTGAAACGGAACGGCTTTTTTTTTTTCTAGTTTGTTCTCGTCATTGCCATTGTGTTTTTAAGTGTTTGGGGTGTCTCCACTTTGTTTCCGGTAAGGTTTCCACATCATGAAAGCATTCCTTCATCTTAAGTGATCGTTTTAGCTGAAGGTTCCAGGTATACAGTACAGTTTATTAAAGCTATTTCGGCAGCATTCGTGTGACCGAGCGTGTTCGCAATTCGTGAACGTCCGACTTTGGGTTGGTGCAAGTGATCCTTCCCATCTACAGTGGTTTCAGAGGGCACAATCCTCAAGATGTCCTTTTTGATGGGGATTGTATATATTTGTATCAAATATCAGTGAGTACTTCAAGTTGCCACTTCATGGTTGTTTGTCATTCTTGCTTCTTGATGTTGCCAACACAACTCATATGACCTTTTGTTCAGATCAGTTTGTTCATCTCTCGCTATATATATATATATATGGACCTTCTTTTGTGTATGGCATCAAGACTCTTCTCCATCCCCACACAAACCACCAGCATCCTCAGCTCCACCTCCAGAGCCAGAAACACACCCATAACATCTCTGAACATCTCTTAACCCTTAACCCTCCAATCCTGCACGATCGAACCTGAGCGATGAGATGAAAATCCGCGACACTCAGGTTGGCTCATCGATGAGTCCAAGGATCCGGCTTATCCGCAGAATGAGGACCTTCACTTCAAGGCCGTTGGTTCCAAACAGACGGAGTTGGACGGGACAAAGCCGCGATGCCGTGGGGGAGGGGGGGAACCCAGAGGGACCGGCGACCGTTATGGTAGAGTATATAGGGGCTCCCAGAAAGAGGACAAGGCATGGAGTGATGTTCAAAGGTGAGGGGACCGCAGGATGTGGTTTTTAGATAGGATATGTGCATGGGGGAGTCCACTTAGACGTCCATAATCTTTTTGAGGAACTTGGCAAGGCTTTACCTCTAGCTCTTGCCAAGTCCAATGTCTCCTGAAAACATCTGAAAACTGCTTGGAATCTCCAGACTCGTTGAACACCATTTTCAGTGCTTGTTCGTGGCCGATGCTTCAAAATCCCGTCGATTTGCAGGTGGCCACGGCGAATCCCTCGAAGACGCCCTTCTTGACAGACAACTATTGGAAGGCACATCCCTCTCTCCTACGCGACGTTGCGCGCTAGTGACCACTCGTGTTGCGAATTCCTGACTGGATCCCCACCCAAAGCGAGGGGTTGCATTTGGTGGATGGTCAGGTTCCAAAATGTAAGCTCTTTACAAGTGATCAACTCACTACTTCTGCAGATCTGATCTTGTTGATCCTGATTGGCAGCGCATGGATTTTGGCTCGTCACGGTTTGTCCTGCAATGACTTTCAGTGGTCAGCGTTGGGGGCATAGAGTTGGCTGGAATGATTTGGAATGCTTTGCTGTTCACTTTGAAATTGAAGGTGAGTATTATTGTTATTGTTGTTACATTATCCATGTTCTTCTTTTGGCCTGTAACCATACCGATGAAGATGAGATTTGTCACTATCACTATACTTTTTCAATCACCTCCCAGCGCGAAACGATCATTTGTATACTGAGAATAGCTCCAATTCCTCTCACCATACTTCGGATATAGTGAGTATAGTCGTGAGTAGTGACCAATCCCCAAAATGCCCAAACAACACCTACCAAACCACCTTCATCTCCCCCAAATACGAAGAACCGCGACGGCAACGCTTGCAACAACGCCCCCCTCTGCTCAGCTGATCGGCCCCGGCCCCGTCTGCAGGTGGCTCACATGAAGGGCACCGTGGTGAAATCGTCTCACATCCATCGAGGATGGGACGTGAACCCGCAGCTCGAGAATGCCACTTGGGCCAGCCGAAAGACTGAAGCAAAGACAAAGAACATGTGAGAGCGGGTGTGTGGAGCCACTGACCAGCGATGTGTTTTTCTTCTTTTTTCTTCTGGTGTTTTGGACGAGTTAATGCCACTGGGCATGTGTTTCTTCCACGCTGCTGGAGATATTCGGCCTATGTTCGGCGAAACCGGTGGGTGGAGGAGCCACGGACAGGTGGTGGTTGAAAGATTTGGTGGAGGTCCCCAGTACACCTGCAACAGTTGGCCAACAGATGATCATCACTATTTTTGGGCCTGGGCCTTTACTAACGTATCATCATCCACGCAAAGGCCCCTCGTAATGGGATATACATAAGCTTGACCCTGGACGTTTGCCCCTTGTCAACTGTCCTTGATTTTCCTTGACGCGACTCCCCAAAAGACCCATGCAGCCAAAACACCGGCCAGTCGTCCTGGCCGCGGACGTCGGGTTTCTTTCTTTGGGTGCTGGACGTCGGGTGTGAAGGTGTTTGGTCCTTGCGCCTCTCAGGTGGAGGTGAAGCTCACGGGGACCAAATACGCCGCGGGCAAGATCTCGGCCATCGAAGTGACGTTTTGGGGCCTAAAACAGAGATGGTCATCGGACGGTGGCCGTTGGATGGGGGAGATGGGAAGAGGCGGAAGAGGGAGGGTAGACAGGTGGAGGAGGTTTTGAGGGGTGGATGAGGTTTTGAGACTGAGTTCAGTACGCTCTTCAGTGCCTCCAGCTGTGAAGGCCAAACTGAATCTGTTTTTGCTTTTGGTCATGAGGGGCAAACCTATGGAAACTGATTACGCCTCGCTGAGCTTGAAGATTGCATGTCATCTCACCCTTCCTGGGTAGTTTCCCTGATGTTTCCCAGATGTTCCTGCAGGAGTCCCTGTGCACCCCCCAACGCTCAGGTTCACTCCCATCACGGATGCGGACACTTTGAAGATTGAGGCTGGACGATGGGCACGTGGCTTCAGCGCTGCTGATGGCTTTCAAGTGCTTCATGCTCATGTAAGAGACCTGCAACAGGCGACAAGACCTTTGTAGACACACAAAATACACCAAGGACTAGCAAACACCTTCAAAAACACCCACTTGTGACATCATGTGACATCATTTGACTCTTGATCGTAGTTTCTTCTGAAAGGTCCCTTAATCCAAGCCCCAAAACCAAAGCTCGACTCAGAACTATGGGGTGAAAGATACCTCAGAAGGTCCCTCCGCAGTTACGTGAGGGGATACACTCCCCTGAAATCATCATGGTCTCGTGGTGTGAGAACCACCTGATACCACCTGTTTGGTATGCAGATTTCACGCTGATCCAGGGGGGACCCTGTTCCACTTCCATGATTTCAGGGAGTGTATACAATTCCCATGTCTTATGTCTTGAATCCTTCCTGGGCCCAAAAACCATTTTGTATAAGGAGTCTTGACAAAGCTGCTAGGGACACTCCTCTTGAAAATAGGTCCCACCCATCACAAAATCAACCATCATGAAGAATGCGCACCCCTACTGTTTGACAGTCTTTGTCCCATGCTACTGTGGCTGCCAAGTACCCTGACAATATCCACGAGTTGTCCAAAACATGCAACGATTGATTTGTTGTAAGTTCCTCAAGTGTTCTCGGGAGACAACTTGAAGGTTGTATCCTTTACGAAGCCGGGTTATGAACCTTATGAAGACATATAGTGATCACTATTCTTCCCCCCCATCAAGCGAATCTCTCCAGGCTTGCGAGCTTAGCCTAGCAGATAGAACCAAAACACGCCCAGCATCCCCAAAGCCAATACCCAAACACTCCATTTACAGTACATACATTCACCACTGAAACCACCCCAATGTAGGTAAATATGACAGTCCCAGACAGGTCGTGTCTGGGATATCATCACCCCTTGCCTGACTGCTTCGCCTGCTTGGCCCTGCGGCCCTGCTCCAGGCCATCTTCCCAACGCAGTTCAACTTCGACCAGTCCACGGCCGGGGACGTCGACCAGTCGAGGGGAAGGGAAGTTGCGTGAGGTTGTTGACAGGTGAAGACATGTGAGGACTAGGGCGAGGATCCAAAATTCCCCAAGTACTGAGGGTCTGAAAGGGTGAGTACTTAGTAATTACCTAGATATACCTAGGGTCCCTCTACAGTTGTTGGGGATCCAAAATTCGGCGTTTTGCCACCACTCCAACTTTTATTGGCCAGACCTTGCACAGAGCTCACGCCATGAAAGTTTTTCGTCGGGACACTTGACATGGCTTCCGGCCGTGCGAACCCGAGGCATGCGAACCGCATGAGAACCGTGTTATGTACATGAGAGCAACCACATATAGTTCTTGTTCCAACCCCTTGGCAGCGGTGCTTACAAAAACACACGCCCCCCCCTCGCGGAAAAACCAACGCGTGCTGGGCGCGGTAAACCGCGCGTGTTTGAACGCACACCGTGATGCAGGTGCCCTTGCCGTATGACATCGACAGTCGAAGTGGGGACCCAAAGACTCGAGGGAGTTTGCAGCGTCGTGGAACGAGAGGAGTTGCTCCTCTTCTGCGTCTCGGGACATGTGATGAGGAGCTAAGTGTGCTTGAGTTCATCTCGGAACAAACAGAGGATATGGGAGGGTAGGTGGGAGGGTAATTTGGTGTTCCGAAGCCATCCACAACCCAAGTTCGAGAGAAGCTGTGATGCAAGCGGAGCGGTCGAAACCATCCACATTGAAAAGACCTTTTGAGGGTCCTTCCCCACAACTGACCAGTGCTAAGCTGGGCATTCCAAACCTACGCAACATAAAGTATTTCACCTGCTTGTTGAGTTCAATTAGTTGAAGTTTCAAGATGTTTCAAGATGTTTCAAGACCAGGAACTGCCAGGACCTGAGCCGTGACCATGACCTCGGAGTCTCTGTTTGTCAGTGGCCTCTGTCTCTAGGGTCGAGTCGTGACGGACCCGCCACTGAGATCTCGACGTCGGAGGGTCACGAGAACGGCTCAAGCTCCTGAGGTCCCCTTGGTGGTATTCTGCGGGTCCCATGGGAGTCCCTGGGTGCCTGAAAGCTGCTCAACGCGCTTAGAAGGAAGGTTCAAACACGTTCCAAGAAGGGAGTGTTTGCTGCTCAGACTTTAGCTTTCCCTGCACGCCAAGATTCTGTAGATTTCACCATGTGATCATGATATATGCAAAGCACCAACCAAAAGCACCATGAAATAGTTCCATGCAAGATTTGCTGATCCCAAGTACCTCTCAAATACCCCAAACGCATTGCATTCAATCCAACCGGACATGACCGTTCCACCCCCTAACCGTTCAATCCCATTCCAACCCACAGCAGTGTGACGCCGTCTTAGGTGAAGGAGCCACGTTGATCATCAACCGTGGAGGCCGGCGGCCGTGGCGGGCGGAGGAGCCAGGTCTGGGCTGTGATCAGGTTTGGCAGAAGTGGGGGGGTATTTACATGGGTAATTAGTCACCAAGTATGTTGGTATACTACATGTGTATACTACATATACTAGATACCTTGCACCTGTGACTGACTAGTCTCCAATCGACATGAAAGTGAACAAAAAGGTGTTTGGAAAGGAATTGCAAGTTGAAGGCCAAGTGGAAAGAAGGTTCCATGGTGCAAACGCCCCAGACTAGGCCTTAGTCACGGGCGTTCGGCCTGCCCTCCTCCCTGCCCTTCCCATGCGGAGGCTTCCGTGCCGGGGTGATGACCACCATCGCCATCAACACCGTGCGTTTGGGCCGGGCCGGTGGTCAGCCGGGGGCACTCAGTGGTGAGTCAGCGGGTGGAGTCGTTGTAGCTGGGAGGAGTCGATGCACAACCCCGCCAAGTGGAAGGCTTTAAAACCATGGCAGCCAAGGGTTCTTTGCATTTAAACATTCGGTGGAGACATTGGAGTTACCAGATCTACCTCAAGCCTTAGGGAAACGGTTTCCCATGTGGTCCCATGTGGAACGGTTTCCCATACATTTTTAGTGGGGATCTGCTTTTCTATCTATTTGGGGTCTGTATACAATTCGATCTTCCAAGGCCCTGTGAGCTGGTCCAATTTTTGCGGCACCCTGCTTGGCATGTTTCCTGGTCACTGAGATCAGAGATCCTCATGGATCCTCATGGATCCTCCTTACGGCTCAGGCTTCGGACTCGAAACATCCACCCTCCACAGCAGGTGGCCACCGCTTCGCCAGCCGTCGACCGGTCGAGCCGTCGAGCCATCGTCGAGCCGTGGAGATGCGACTGAGGACACGTTTCAACTTCATTACCTACAACGATGACACCATGTCGGAGAAGAGGGTGTCCTGGCATGTTCGTTTCAGCTGGCCACTTCGCTCTACAAACCTGGCTCTTCCGTCCTCCGTGCAAGGTTCCTTCCACTCAACCGCTTGAGGCAGTTCGAGGAAAGGTATCCCGAAGCCAGATCGAAACCCCGGGGTCTTCTGCGGCCAAGTGGCGGCGAGTGACGCCTTTCGCCTGCTCTTCACGCGCCGCGCTGTGCTCGCACCGAGGATGAGAAGTTGGGCTTCACCGGCGGCTTCCGCTTACCGGGTCTGTGGGCCATCCTCAGTTGGGCCGGTTCGGGTGGGCAGTTCGACCGGTGCATGGGCGGGAGGGGAGGATGGGCGGTTTGTGGTCTTCAGACTGAGGATAGGTACCCTCCAAATGCCTCCAATGTACAGTGGAATTTGTGTGATTGCGTTTCAAGCACTATGACAATTGATCCAGTTCCAATGCCTCAAATCGAGGGGATCTCACCCACCCAACCAAGCACAACAAAATCACAAAAAGCATTTGGGGATGGCCAAGCCAAGCTGTGCTAAGAGCCAAGAACAGCCAAGCAGCACCAACAACTAACAACCAAGCTAAGCTCAGCTATGCTGCTTTGCTCCAGTGGTTCACCAAGGATCTATATAGGTCTGATCTAGGCACCCCCCAGTTCTTTGCGGCTGGTCCCTCACCACGTACGGACCACGTTTCGTCTCGCTCGCCTCGCCGACCAGGATCAGTGTGGTCAATGCACCGGTGCTGCGGAGCCAGCGGGGAGACCTAGGACCTAGCGATCAGCCGGACCGCCGCGGGTGGGGAGGGAGGGAGGAGACACTTTGGGTGATGGAAAAGCGGAAGCTACTAGGGTGGAGGCCATCACTATTTGGGTGGAGGCCATCGCTATTAAGTTGGAGGCCATCGCTATTAGCTTGGGGGCCAGAAGACTAGTACCAAGAAGCTAAAGAAGACTAGAGCTCGAAGAAGACTAGAGTTTGTATCAGATATTTTGTACGTGAATCTTCATGGGGTGAGCATGGATGAGCCCACTGACTCACCAAGTGAGTTGACACCATCAACCAGTCATGGCTTTGTGGAACACCACCATTCGGTTTGGTCTTCGGATTTCATTTGTCATCCGCATTTGGGGGGGGACGAGATGCTTTTCGTGTTTTTGTGTTTCCACTTGTTTCCACATCTCCGTCTCCATGGGTGATTTCACCAACAAATATGGGCCCGTTCGCCATGACAATGACAATGTCGATTAAGCCCATGGTACTGTAACCCTATAGACTCCATCCGAGCTCAACATGAAAACCCAAACCGATGCTCGACTTCCCCCCCCAAACCCACGGCCAGCATGGAGCTCCAGCCTGGCGCGCAGGCCGCTCCATTCGTTGCTGAGGTACCAGGAGGCCAAGGCCCAGTTCCCAGTAGAGTCGCTCTTTCAGCCCCGAGTGCAGGAGGAGCGAAGCAGCCACGGTCGTCGACGGGTCAGTCTGTCAGGGTCGAGGTCGACGGGGCGGTCATTGACTTAGGCAAGGATGGAGCATCAAGACATATCGGATCCTGGAGGGGTCGACTCTGAAGAGGCAAGGATTTGTTTCCACACATCGGCTTTACTGTTTTCTAGAGGTTTGCTAGCTTTGATACCTGGACCCTGGACCCAAGATCGGGGTAGCAGCCGGTATAGCAAGCGTGGCATGGTCGCAGGGTCGAAACTCTCCCGACCCGACATGGAAGCGGAACATGGTTTCTTGGGAGACATAATGTCTTATATTTATGTTCGGTTACGAAAAGGGGGGAACCCCCACTTCCATGTGATGTGTTAGTTTGTTCATGTATCTTGGAGGATGCTTGTTTCGGCGTTCCTACTGAAACCGTTCTCATCACCAACTCTAGTTCTTGTCGCTGCTGGCCTGGGCTTTGCACCTGGAACCGCTTCCGCCGAGCGCGGGAAGCGCCAAGCGAAGCTGGCAGGATGCCAAGGCGCAGTTCACCTTGTCCTTCTCCAGGGCAGTGCAAGCCTCGGAGAGGCAACGTCGCTGCTTCAGCCGGTGATTCATGCGCAAACCATGAAGCCAAGCTGGCGCTCGAAGCGGTTGGAGCCACCTTTTGACAAGAGCCCCCCTTTGGGTAGTGCAACACGTTCCCAAACCTGTTGGATGTATATAGCTTTCGGCTCCCCCCATGTTCAGCAAACATGCCGTAAATACCAATGGCCAGTGTACGTTGTTCACCTTGTTCATTCTGTATCTCCCTTGCCGATGATCCAAGAGATCCCCCCTGCCGCCCCTGTTCGCGCGGAGCCCGCCCCGAATCCTGATCCGCGCAGGCTGTTGGTGACTTGTCAGGGGCAGGCGAAGTATCAGCTCAAGAGCCTCGGCAAGACTCAGGATAATGAAGGGCTTCCAGTCAGTACCAAGGTGTTTGGGGTGGGTGCCAGGAGGTTCCAGTCATACCTTCTGAGTAAGTCTTTGGAGCTCTGTTCAGAAAGAGACTGGAGACGATCTGCCGAGCTTGTGGGTGATTTGTGGCGGACATGATCTGCCTTCAGTTGACATGGGACTGTTAGGACAGGTGTTTCAGTCCTTGGCTCATTTTCCTCACAGTGGAGGGGGTATGCATTGGCCCCCTTTCGCTGCAGAGAATCACCATGTTTACTGCTCAACCTCCAGATCTGGCTTGCAATGATGTTCCATGTGTTTCCAGGAGTCACTTCTTCTAATGCCCCGTGTGGTCCAGTGGATGTGACAGGGGCACCCCAACGACCTCCATGGATAGCACCATGGAGCTGCTGGTCTTTCTGTGGAGGCCATTGCAAGTACGTAGCTTGGAGGCCATCGCTACTAGTAAGAAGAAGCTATACTAGTAGTCTTTGGACACCATTAGCATCCCTGGGATCCAAGTACCTTCTCAGGTACGGTGATTGGGGGCACTGTTATGTAGGTGCCAGGAGGGTCCAGTCGTACCTTCTGAGGTTCGGTACGAAAACAGATCCCAAACGGGTATCGTTCCTTCGCTTCGCTTCTTCAGCGCTCTTCACACCGAGGCAGTCGCCCTTCGTCGTGATCGGTATTGGGCCCATTGAGACATCGGCCCGGAGCCTCATTGGCGGATTTCTGTCGGATCCACCGGGTGGATTAGGACGGAATCCGAATCCGCCAAGGATGCAGCTCCTTGACCCTCCAAGGTACCGCATTGACTGTTTCTCTTTTATTCGATTCATGTCCTATGTTTGTTTCCGTGTGGAAACTGCCTGACCACGAACTGAATCACCATAATTCTTGCTTGATCGCGACTTGAAAGCTGGTAGTTATGTATGTAGAATGTAGTTAGTTGCGTAGAATACATCCCTTTTTCATCCCTTTCAACCGGCCTCTCGCCCCCATTGTCTCCCAGGTGGAGATTGATGCCGATGGGATTCTGCGGGCGCGCCGGTCGTCCGCGCTGGGGACAGATGGGTGGAGCGGGAGCGCCCAAAGCAACGGCGGTCGGCCCGTCTGGGGCGGATGGCACCTGGTGGATCTGGGGTGCCCAGGGTGGATGAATGCGGTCATTCTTCCAACGTGTTGCATGAATTTTTGGGGTTGGCAAACATGGTTTGGGCCAAGGGCAAGCTGGGTCGAGCTGGCTCGAGCGAGCTGCGTGAGGTGAAATCACGCAAAGTGACAGGGACGGCACTTGCTGGAATACAATTCAATGGATAGCCATGTTTCCTAAACCAGGCCTTGAGAGAATTTGATCAGCCAAGACACCTGAAGAATTCAGCCAAGTACCACTCCCACTGACTCATGTACTCATTTTCCCCTTCCGACGCTGCGCCAGGCTACACTGAAGCCTGGGAGACCGGCTACGGAGGTGGCACTACAGGCGAGGTCTACCAGGTGATCTCAATTTATCAGACACGTTGTTTTGTTCCAGTCACAGCAGATGATCATGTGGTGCTCATAATGAGTGCTCTTTGTTTTTTCTTTGTTGTGATCATCATACATTTGATAGACCATTTACAAATACAGAACTTTAGAACTTTGCTTGGTTTTACCACCAAGCAATGCCCAAAACATCTTTGCACACATCGTTTCCCAAGAGCATTTCTTCACCAATCAAAAGCTTTCTTTGTTTTTGGACTATTCTTTGGTCTAGGCCTAATATATCAACGGGCGTGGGACGAAACACCCCGGAAGAAAGGTCAGCAAGGGCTGGGACCCGAAGGTCAAAGCCACTAGAATAGTGGTCCACCAATAGATAGAAGCATCCTTTCCGATCGGGTTTCCAGTACATTTTGAGTGGGGGGGATCTATGACTGTTCTATCTATTTGGGGGTCTAAGTCTACATAGTTGACCAGGTTTAGTGGTCGCTAAGTACATGGCTGCATGTATTCACCAATATTAGATGGCACCCCCTGGAAGAGGGACAATAGGCTTAACAGCCATTGGTTGGGTGTCTCCATATTATGTCTACAAGCTTCACTCCGGGGCCTTGTTGCGAGGTCATTGAATTGAAATTCGGTCGCTATAGCTGTGCGCAGAGCAAAACAACAGCAGCTGCAGGCGGATACCCCCTACACCATCATTATGCTGGTCGTCCCCTCAGACGTTGGCGGAACAGAACTCTCCGAGGTTGGATAAAGATCCGCTAGATGGATACTAGATGTAAGGCAGAGTAATAAGACACGCCGATCGATTTCTCCAATATGACTGACTATGAAACAGGAAGTCCTTGCGGCAGTCCTTGTGTTTCAAAAGGCATGCCGTGCTGGTGAGAGTTTCTTTGGGTGTCCCTTTGACCATGGAGGTACGTAATGTGTCTCTTGTGGGGCAAGTTGTTTGGCCACATACACTCGATCTGGAAGAGACCCACATGGAACCTGAAAAGCACTGGGTTGTAGAGGAAAGTAGTCTTCCAAAGGTCCATGCCATCAGGTTCCATGTCAATCTTGTGCGCAACGTCACATTGCACAGTGCTCACAGACGTTGTGTCGATGAACAGAGAGCCAATCCTTTGGGCCATGCATTGGGCCATGTCACCGGAGGTTGCGTGAAGGATTTCGACCCAGGTTGGTCCAGCAACATGAGGGGCAGGAAAAGCACTGAAAGCAGCACCCACCCCGAGAACCCCTTGCAGGTGCTGCACTCCTCTGAGACCCAGCACAGCACCCCTCAAGCTTTAGTACTAGGACTTGTGACTAGTGACTAGTGACGAAGACCTGGATCCAGCAATCCCGTCCATTCCAGGTCACTTCGTATCCCTCTCCCACCCAACACTCTCAACAAGCCCAGTCTCTCCCAGTTCATCATATCATGCCATATCAAGCAACCGACCCGCATGACAGACACTTCATGAAAAGCCAGCATCCGCAAATCACCCGCCCTCCCTCCTCCCATCCCCCTCCAGCTCCGGGCGCTCGCGTCCCACAGCGCCCGACTTCCAGCGAAGACGATCGCCGTCGACTGCCGTGCACCAAAACCCAGGAGACCAACCATCCAGGTCTCCATCCCACGCTTCTTAAGACCACGGCAGGTCTCCTACAGGTCTCCTGGTCTCCGACCTCTACGGCTACCCAGCCAGGTCTCCATCCCCAGACCACGTCCATCTCCATCCCAGGTCTTACCCGTCCAGGGCACCAACACCTGGCGCTTTGATACCAGCGATGGTGGCGCTCTACCGACCAACACCAACGACGGAGAGCTCAACGGCCGGAGCGCCTGGTGTTCGGTGCGAAAAGGAGGTTCAACGGCTGAAGTCTGGCTAATGATTCATGATGTAGACCCTTGATTCATCACCACTCCATTTAGGATTGAAAGAGCCTCTTCGTAAGGGGTTGTTGTTGTTTTTCTTGAGTCTACCTTGTGTGGAGATTTTGCAGGTGAGCACAACCTGTTCACAGCTGGCACAGACACCCGACGGCTGCTTTGGCTCAGGTGTACAGCACTGACATTTAATTTCCTGACAATGCCTCAAACAGAACCTTTCTGCTTTGTTCGGAGAAGGACTGAAACAGCCTCCTCAATGAACAGTTTGGTTGGTGGTGTAGAAGCAATTGTGTCTTGGAAGGTATGACTGGATCCCTGTGGGTCTTGTGTGGGTCTTGTGTGGGCCTTGGTCGCATCAACTCCGTGCTTCGTCACAGCGGCTCAGTCACATCGACCAGGCTTCTCGCCGGTGGAGCAGTTTGTCTTGGGCGTTGAGGCCGTGCGACGCCGTGCCGGTGGGCGCCGGTGGAAGACCGTCGGTCGTTTTCACGGTGAGTCGCAACGGACGTTTCTCGGGAAGTGTTTGAGATGAATGGAGACGAAGATCTCGGAATCGCTGTGTGTTGAGGTCCTTAGATTCAGATTGATCAGGTCGGCCCATGATGTCAGTGAGTGGACCTGTTTTACATGGTTTTAGGCTTTATCCAGTTCATGCTACCAAGACCGACTTCTCCCATCTCACCCGCGGCTACGGAGGGAGCTGAGGATCCGGAGGTATATATCCAGAGGTATCCCGATCCGCCATTCAACAGAGGTATCCCAAATCGCTTCAGCGAACGACGCGAGCAACACAAGTTCCTCCGTCCAGGCGGTGCGTAGTCCGCCCAGAGCCGTGGCCAGTCCTGGCGAGTTTTGCCTGGAGCCGGATCGAGTGGGAAGGGACTCATTTGGATCAAAGGGCAGACCTGAAGCAGAAAGGAGGGCGGTGGTTCTTTTTGGACAGCAAGATGTTTGACAAGATCCTCCTGGAAGGAAAGTTATAACATTATTAATATACATTAATATTGTAGGCAATAATAGAAAAAGTAATAGAAACATATTGTAGGCATTAATGTACCAGATGGCTCTACATTTCAAGTACTCGTGCAGACCTTTTTGGAGGGAAGATGAGAGAAGGTCCGAACAAGTGGTTGCATGTTCTTTTTTTTCTCCGGAACGAGGGAACACCACTTAGCTGGCCCACTCACCATGATTTCTATCCCCTATCCCATCGACTCCCTAGTTCACTGCGACGATTGAAGGCGGACGGAACCGTAACCAACTGCAGGGTGACAACTATTCTAATTATATATATATATATATTATATTCATGTTCTTTCACCTGCCCTGTTGTTTCCAGCTAGCACTGTATACATATAGTGGTAGCCCTTGGTTCTAGTTCTAGGTCTGAGTCTGTTTGCTTTTGGAAAGCACTGCTCGAATGCCCCAAAGTCCGATGCTCCAAAAACCAGTCCGATGCTCAGTTTCGGGAAGCCACCTGTCCGGGTCACCATCACCGCCCGCCACGGGCCAGTCTGCAGTCGACCTGGCCAGGTCGATGTCACTCTTAGCATCGAAGTGGGCAATGCCATCGTTCGGGAGCGGTGCTTGGGATGGCCTCCGTTCGCTCCAGAGGGGCTTTCACGGCTTTTCGGCTCCGGGATTGGCGGCATTGGCTGTTGAGACTGGTGTGATGTTGTTGGAGTAGATTCTAGACTTTGGTTGAATCCCTGGTAGAGTCTGTAAATGTCTGTAAAGCACCATGAAAAGCATCGCCCAAACGCGATCCACACCCCTCCTGAGATCTCCTGAGAAGGTATGAAACTTGGTAGGGATATTTGGATGGCAAAAGGACCAAATACATCCAAATATCATGGGTATGATAAAATCTTGTTGGGCATAAGATGGCATGGCATGTGTTTTCAAGTCTTTTTCGCCACCTCGAGGAGCTCATCATCGTGGCCCCTCCAAGCTTCCTCTTCGACGAGAGTGCTGGTGGCTGCGGCGACATGTGCTTGCCCGGGAGCCTGCATCGGCTGGGACGTTTGGGGAGCCTTTTAAAATGCAATTGTTATTTCCTTGCGGGAGACGTCCCGACTGCTTACTGGTAGCTATCATAAACTGTTGTAATCTGAAGAGGTTCCTTGACCTTTGCTGACATTGACATAACTCCCAATGATTATACATGTTGTTTGGTAGACCTGTGGCTTGTGCCGCCGGTTGATCGATGAGAGACCTTTATTGATGTAGCCCCAAACGAGCATTTTGGGTAGTCAACTGGTCGGTCACCCGGTTTTGACCCACGGCCATGCAATCCACTGACTATGAGTTCATGCAACAATCTTATATAGAGCATATTTGATCAGGACAACCAACACTGATATCCTTGACCCTTGATTTGGATTTGGATGTTTGCTAGGCTTTTGGAAGTCCATACCAGTTTGTGGTAGCTCTTCTTGCTTGGACCAAAAGCAGCAGAATTTGGTTCCAAATGGAATCCGGGAGACTCTCCCCCAATGTGGTCTGGATCATCTGGGTATCCCATGGACTACCACTGCACGACGACCTCCACTGACCTCGATCCATTGGATGCCCCGTGGCGGTCGTGCCTGAGGCCTGGAGAGTCCTTCAGTGGCCAGCGGAAGTGTCTTGGGTGCAGTAGGTCGGGTGAAGCAGTGAACTGGGCACTGGACTGAATGGGCGTGTTGATTTTGCGCACATTCAGTTTGCAGCCGATGTTCACAAACTGCAAACTGTAGAGATTGGATCGGTTAGTAGACTTGTCAAGTGGACATGTTATAGACTGAGAGAGAGAGAGAGGAGAGAGAGTTTGAGAGTCCTCTAATGTTGCTATATTATATAGTTACTCTCTCCATCCTGGCAGAAAAGTCCTACTCGGACGGTGAAGGGCCTGGCTTTTGATCCGACTGGGCACTCTAAGGATTCGTTTCTGTTTGTAGGTTTCATTGGCATGGCTAAGTCTTTCTGAACCTCCTGCAGATTGACCCGATCTCGGTCCTTGGACAAATTTGACCTATGTTTGACCCAGGAAGGGTTCATCACCAAGCTGTTTCATTGATCATTTCCTGGACAGCGGCTTCAGGATTGCTTCTAGTTTCCTTCAAATCTTCTCCCTTCCCCGACCTTGCCGCATTCCTCCAAACCACCACCACGTGGGGGAATCTAGCTCATCACCACCCCACCCACACGCGACCGTTCGGGCCGCTCCGTTCGCGCCGACACACCCTGAGGACCGCCACCATTGCCTCCCCCACCGGGGAACCTTTGACGCAGCTTCAGGGCATCAAGCCGCTTGGCCATGACGGAGACCAGGTGCCCAAGGGTGTGACCCCCAGGTGTCCAAGCTGGTGAAGGGTGTTCATGTTCCAATTTCTAATCCTGAACATGTCCAGGTGATCATGGGTGTGAGGGTAATATATGACATATAATGGATTTGCCCACCCTGTTCATTTCGTCCAAGTGCTTCAATCATTGAAGTGATACAGATCTTGATCTGACTAGAGAGAGGTTTTCTGCCTGAATGACTAAAACCGAATTGGTCAGTTTCACCACTCAAAGACACTATAACAAACTATAATATGTATATATATATAATATGTATGTTGTTATGTTTTGCACACGCAAGACGGCACAAGGTTAACCAGCGTACGCTCTACTGCACTGTATGCTGGACACCACGATAGGGATCCACAACAATCCACTCCTGCTCGACTCAGTGTTGTCAGGACTCTGCTGGTTCGCTCTGCCACTTCCAAGGATCCACTGCCACCGAACCTCAGGTTCGGTATGACTGGGCCCTCCTTCCTGGTGTCTACAGAAACAGTCTACTGCTCACCTTCTCAGGTTCGGTATGTGGATCCATAGCGGATGATATGGGGATCAGGTAGGTCAAACCTCCAATCACCGTACCTGAGAAGCTACTTGCATCTCACCTGAATGTGCACTGATCTTCCGTTCCTCCCAAGGGTCCGCGTGCTGACCCCGTATCTGACGCCAAGCAGTCCAGGACTCAGTAAACTGGCATGCGTGAGGCACAAGGACTAAACAACTCCTTTCATGTAAACTCGTCAAAGCCATGGCTTCTGGCATAGTTTCAATCAGTTCGATGATATGTGTGACCCTGGCGTGGGCGGCATAATCAGTTGGATATGAGCAAATGTGATGTGTGACCAAACTGGTTGCTCGCCACCTTCGCATGGCACTGCGAAGTGGCCACTTCTGAGGTGTGACCTGGTTTGTCGAGGGTCGTGGCCAGGGTGCTGGGACGACCGTTGGCTGGGGCAGAGGCGGGGCACACAGCAGTTGTCAAATATCAGGATGGGGAGAGAGCTAGCAGCTAGCAGCTAGGACTTCTGTGCAAAAAGAGATCTAACAGGTGTTCTTTGTTTTCGCAGTCAATACCTGATTGGAAGTGCATCCCCATCTTGATCAAAACAAAGAGAATCTTCCAAGGGCTTGGAATCTTGGGTTCCACTTATTTCACTTCCTTCTTGCAGTGCATCTAGACACTCATTGGTCCTACGAGTGTTCTGGGGCGTGAGGGCCCGTCCTGGTGCGCAAGGCCCTGGCTTTTTTGTCACTCAGATGGCTGCCACGTCGGTGATGTGCGCCTGACAGACTTTCGACGGAACGCCTTTCGCCGTTTACTGCGCCCACCCTCGGGCGTGTGTTCTAAGCAAGCGTGTCGGGCGTCCGACAGACCCGGTCGTATTCGGTGGAAGGGCAGCATAGAAAGGAATGGATGGGAATGGTGGATATGTTATATTAATGGGTTATTTACCTAGTTCGCTCAGCTGAACTTGCGACGTTCTATTTGTTGCGAGGTGTGATTGGCCGCTTGGGAGGTGGCAAACAGCTGCCTCCCCTTACGACCGAATCTTTAGCAAACACCCTTTCTGGGTCCTGGTACAGAAGCCTGTGTGTGTGATGTGCGATCGCGAGCGAGCGCGAGGTACCCTGCAGTGGCCAAAGTGGCTCAGGCACAAATAGTGTGCGAAAGCTCAGATTCATTGAGTTTCGCGGCGATGGGTTTTGGATAGATGGAGTGATGCAGTTAGACCCAGGCCCCTTTGGTGGGACCCTCATGAGGGCATACTGTGGGAGGTGGTTTGCATTTACTTGCTGCGTTTTTTACTGGAGCAAACGTGTGCGGGATTTCTCAGAATTGATAAGAGGCGGCATGATGTTAACAGGATATGCGGGCTCCAGGCGAATGTTACAGATGAATGCTTATGGAGGTTGATGGAAGGAGTGCTTCCAGTCTTGCACTGGCGCACCGTGGAGACTGGAGAGAGCCATGGAGAGCCAACGTCGCGACGTCGTTCCCACAGCCCCGCATGAGCGGTGCCTTGAGGTTCACCTTCGCGCTGAACGTGAACGCGGGGAACCAAATCAACATCGTGGCCCCGCCCAACTTCATCCTCACCTGTGGATGCCCCAGGAGCCCAGGAATTCGACCCGGACACCTGGCAGGTACTGCCGTGCAGACTCACGTGACTGGCAGGTACTGCAGCGATTTCTTCCAGCGAAGATCCTAAAACCACAGACTCTTCGACCAAGCTAGCAACGAGTAAGCCAATTAGAACTGTGATCATGCATGCCCTAGGGATCCAATCATACCGAACCTCAGCAGGCGATTGGAGACGCCGCTATGTAGGTTTGGAGGGTCCAAGTACCTTTGGAGACACCTTCTGAGAAGGTACGACTGGATTGCTAGGGCATGGTCTATGCATGTAACAAATCCACAGCGGAATTCTCACTCCACTATACATTGCGATCATTGAGTTCCTTTTTGCATGGTTTGAAGAACTCCCAACTGCGTCACCGCCCTCTGTCTTGCAGCCCGAGGTTCCACGGAGGGCGCCTTGAAGCAGATCAGCTTGCCGGGCGGAAAGCCCGGGAGACCCGGTGGTGTTCTGCAACGGGCGCGGTGGTTTTGGCGCGCGCAAGCGCGGTGCGAACACCCATGCTGACAGCAATAGCTTAGACTCAGACTGAATCGAGGTGAAGGCAGTTGGCCAGTTGGCCGTGTTGATGGGTCCGGGGTCGGTTTGGCCATTTGGAGGCCATGGGCCATACAAATGCAGTTGATGCTTGGCAGATGAACTTTTGGATCCTGTTCTTTCAAGCACATGCGGCTTTGTCAACATGTCTTCTATCAACATGGTGCCCCCTTGCCAGCCATATTATAGAAGAAGGGTCATGGTTCATTATGTTCATTCTGGTTCATCTGATTTTTGTAGTCTAAACTTCGGAAAACCTAGGGTAGTGACTAGTGGTGGGTCCTTTGTTTTGCCAAACACCTCGATCATGGATCCTCTTGCCCAGGCCCAGCTGCATTGATGATCCGCTGCAGATCACCGTGGTGGGGTCACCCTGACCGATGGTGCGATCCACCTGTCCAAACGTAGCTGAAAAAGAACAAACACCGCCGTGGAGTTCAGAGAAAGGGGATTGATATCAAGACCCCAGAAAACTGGAGTACCCATATTATCCCATATTCTATTTGAACATATTCGTCCAATATCTTCTATAGTGGCTTGGAATGTAGCTAGAAAATGTGCACATGTTCCATGCAGCATGGTTTAGTCTCAACGATGTGGATTTTGTCTCACGAGTCTTGGCAATTTCTTCCTGCACCAACTTCTTTGCACTTCCTTCCATGTAGGCATGTGATGCATTTTAGCAACCTTTATCCCATCGACCGCATTGCAGGTTTTTTTTTGTTTATGAATCCCTCACATGGCGTGTTGATGTGCCTGCTCTCTGAGCTGAGGACACGACGCTCACAAGGGACCAGTATGCCTGGAGCTAAGTTCGTTTTTTTTTGGTTTGTGCCAAGGACAGATTACTTTGCCACATAAACAAACCATGTCACAGCCTGTTTTGATTGCACCTTCGCAGTCTCCTCCAAATCCAAACAACACATAAACTTCCCCTCCGAAATACCCCGCACACAGCTCACATTTTCAACATTCTCGAAACATCGATATCATCGACTCTGGAGTCATAAAACCTCCTGGATCCAGTATGCTTTTTACAATCTTGTACATGGGCGATCTATTTTCATCAGCAGCCAACATGAGCAGTAGCACAGCCCTGGAAGGCCTTTGCGCTCTTGGTCGATATGCCCGCAGAAACGCCGACACCGGCGGACGCCACCTGGTGGCATTTTACTCCGCGGAGCGGGACGCGAAGGTTCAGGGTTCACGTGATGGGTGGACCTATGGCCGTGAGGTCTGCGGACCACCTGCAGGTTTACCTGCAGGTTACCTTGGAGACACTCTTAGTTAGAGAACATCCACGGGTATGTTGGACACGCAGGAGGTACGTGGACCACCTTTACAGTCTCTGACGATCATCCATGGAATCTGGAAAACAACAGGCCCGAAAGGAAAGGACATGAAAGGACCAGCGTAACCAAATGCCAGGCAGTGTGTGTGTTTCTTCAGCTTCCATGTCAATGACTCGGAGAGTAACCCTTTCTTTTTGCGGATTGGAGACACCACGCTCGAATCCAACAGGTGGAACGTTCGGTTCGGGGGGTCAGTTGGATAGGCCATGGCATATCGGGTCTGGTTGGTCTGATGGGGTGTCCAAAAGGATTTCTTCCAACATCCTCCTCAGTTTTTTTTGCTCTAGTGGGTCATAATATCCTGGAGAGTTTGCCCCACATATCACCACATGTGTGTTTCTGAAGAAAGGATCCAATTGAAGTTAGCTCTGGACCAACTGGACCACATGGCTTGAATTGCTTAGAGGGTCACAATTCGATCTTCAAAGCCTCCGGTCGGAAGCCTGGTATGCACCGTCCGGCGCCTCGCTTGCACCAACACGTGTTGCGCTGGTTTGAAGGCCAATACCTTTGCCGTCATTATTAGAGATCAGGAGCGCAGTAAATCTGCCCAAGATTGGGAAGTGTCAATCTGACCAAGATTGAATGCTTTGTAAAATGAACAGGAATGGAACCAATTTGTTCATGTTAGGGACTGCCTACGAGGAGTTATTCCGATGGGTATCGGAGTGGTGATGGTCATTCATTCACGTGCAAAGAAATGTAAAGAAGCTTCCTGAACATGACTGATTGACAATTCATCATGCTGTGTGTCGCAGGACAACAACGTGGTTGATGCTGCGTGCCTTGGAAATAGATAGACTCATTTCATAGCGGTCGACTTACTACGTTGATGCATTTGAGTCTGAATTCATCAATTAATCGACCCGTTCACCTTGATCGTTCTGTTTTTTACAATGCGCCCCTGACTTTTGCACAAAGACATGGAATTCACAGGACCTGCTTTTGGACTGAAGACAGAGCACTGGCAAAGGAATGTAAGACATATTGGGGCGTGCTTGCTTCAATATCAAATGGCTCTCAGAAAATCGGAATCATGGTCGGAGTCTTCTCCAAGTTCTTTCCCCACCGAATTTCCACACTTCTCAGTCTTCTCATCCAACCCCTTGGGGTTTCCATTCCACCACCTTCTGCACGAGGTCCCCCGCCCAATCCGTGCGCAGAATTTCAACCCGCGCCCCTTCCAGACCGCCGCACGAAGCGGGAGCCGCGCCGAGGTATGCCGTCCAGGGGAAGGAGATCCGCCAGATCGGGGTCACCGACCCATACCTCTTCTGGTCCGGGGAGTTCGGTCGAGAGTTGACCACGGAGGTTGTGGCTGGACGGCCCTGGAAGTCGAAGGTAGCCATTTATATACATGGGTACGTTCGGCTTCCAGGGACATGATGTACTAGTATATATACATCATTTAGAACAAATTACGATTTTACAGTCAATCCAGATCGACCATAAACAACAATATTAGAAAGGACTTCCCAGGGTCAGTCAACCACTTGGAGGCCCCTTGGAGGCCCCTTGAGAGCTGTGGCATCAGTTCATGAATCAGGCGCATCACCCTGAGGATCTGGACCCTCAAAAAATTACACCGGCAAGGGACCCCAAATAGTGTAAAGAGGAACAGATGGAACATGGCATCACGTGGAAGGAAAGAAGGAGCACACAGATGAGAGCACAAATATGAGAGGATACATACAAGAGCACAAATGTGAGAGTGCAGATTCACGAGCACAAATGAGAGCACACATATGAGAGCATATGGGAGCACATATGAGAGCACATGAGAGCACACATCTGAGAGCACAAATGTGAGAGCACATACAAGCACAAATCTGAGAGCACATAGGCGAGTACATAGGAGCATTTCGAAGTTCACAATGTACCGCGCCTGCTACGAAATCTGCACATGGAGGTTCACAAAGTACTGCGCCTGCCACGAAATCTGCACATTGAGAACAACAAAGTGCTGTGCCTGCTACGAAATCTGCGCATCGAGATTCACAAAGTGCTGCACCTGCCACGAAATCTGCACATCGAGATTCACACAGTGCTGCGCCTGCCACGAAATCTGCACATCGAGATTCACAAAGTGC